TAAAGGCGAACTTGCCAAATGCACGCCTTACATGGGCCCTGAATCAGAAAACCTTGAGGAATCAAAGCTGTCGATCATATCACTTTCTTTCTCTCCGAGCGGCGCCAACCCATCTGTGATGTTTTTCACGCTCAGCTCGCACCACGATGGCTTTAACTTCCTCTTAAAGTAGTGGAAAATTGTGCACCGATGTGGAATATAGTGGCAGACAATTATGTTTACTGAGCGGCTGTCTGTGCCTCCCGCCTGCCTACTTCACTCTTAGTTATCAGATTTATTCAGGAACCCGCGGGTCAACGAGACCTTACTTCTTTTTTTAATTATGCAAACTAAATTCAGCATAATGGATCTTAATGGTGGCTGTGTGGCAAAGACACTGGCTTACATAAGAGGTGATCAATCAGGCGGACGGAAAGGGAGGTTTACGACAGCGGGAGGGGCCCATTTTACTGAGAAAAACATGCAGGTGGCTGCTGTGAGTTTACTAAGTGTTTTGCTTCATACAGCAGCACAAGTGCTGCTATGTAGCTGATGATGTATTGTGACATTCACTGACGAATTTCAGTTTCTGTGCTCAAATCCTTCAAAAAATGTCAGCTTTTAGAAAGTAGTTCTTTTCATGTTCAAGACAAGATGCGGTGGATTCCTTTTAGACTCTTCACACCCTCTCATTTAAATGAACAGTGGGGTACAGTTACCCAGCATTCAACAAGATAACCCATCTATGTGCGTCAATAGCATGCCTTAATTGTAGTCATCTTCTTTTCATTCTTCCAACAACCCCCTAATGCTGTCTTGTGTGATATTGTGTACATTCTTGGTTATACATGAAGAATTTATATTTTCTTGTTTCGATTCCCTCAGTCAGCGATAAGATGGCACGAGAAGTCTACGGAGGCCGGGACTGAATTCAGCGGAACCTTCATCCATTAAAAGGAAGATGATTCCACATTACATACGCACAGCAACTTTCCATTAGGTCTGCACAAAAACAAGAGTGGCTGTAAGCGTGCGCTGGAGTCGGCTTATATGCCAGTTTTTTGTTTCTTATTGAAATTTTAATTTAAGTGAGTGCGCTCTGCACAAGGTTCAAACAAAGACTTGACAAGTTTGAAAAACTTAGAAGAAATTTTAACAGAATGAACAAAACATATATATGTTTACATTAATCTGACTAGAATTTTTTTTATGTTTTATACTTTGGTAAAGATCTGAGTGTCTTTAAATGCCATCTGTGGCGCCAAACAAGATTTTCTCTCTGTGTAAACAACAGAGCAGAGATCCTGCGCTCCGCGAGCCGCTCAGAGATGAAGCTCAGTTCTGCATATCTGAATGCGCCTGTGTGTGTGTGTGTGTGTGTGTGTGTGTGTGTGTGTGTGTGTGTGTGTGTGTGTGTGGATGTTTCCTGATTGGGTTTGGACTGGGTCTG